CTGTCCTGAACCGCCCTTCAGGGACCCTTGTTGCGCTAGCAGCGTAGGAAGCTTGATGTTCCAAATGCTTCTCTTTTTGTTTCTAGAGTCTCAAGGTTGGAGCCTCTGTGGATTTCAGTATCGTAACTGAAAGACTAAGTCTAAAAACTGGTTCTAGTCCCGATCCGGTTACTAATTTATAGTGAGAACAAAGTAATTTAACTTCTTTGTGCCTCAGTTTCCAAATCAGCTAAAACCAGATGGGGCCCGTCCAGCTGGGAGGCTCAGATGAGATGACGATGTGGCACCACAGGCAGTGTCAGGCCAATGTGAAGGGATGCTACAGGCGCTACTTCCCAGACTGTAGAAAAAGCTAGGGGTCCCCAACTTTCCTGATGGCTTCCAGCTGTCCATCAAATCAAAGCCAAAGCCAAAATGGCTGCTTGAACAGGAGACAGGCCGCCCAGTTCCCACAAAATGACACCAGCAAGATCACGAAGTCGGCCCCTGATTGGGTGATGAACAAGAAAACCAATGGGAATCTCGAGTTAAATGAGGTCTTCCACCCCAGAACTGCACCAGTCTGCCAGAAGGCCACATCAAGAGGTGCCCCATGCAAGACGAATGTCAGTCCCCAAAGGACACGGGGGATGGCAAGGCTGGACACAGGTCCAGAGGCAACAAGGAGAGAAAGTGCCCGGGGGAGGCAGCAGGCCATGAGCAGCATGGCGCCCCAAGGGTCAGATCGGTAGACTGGGTCCCTGGGCCTCGAGGTCCCGAGAGGCCAGAGGGGCTGAAGATCCAGCTCTCTGAATCTGGCCAAAAACCCAGAGGGGGAGGTAGGTGGAAAAAAACACAGCGTGAAGCCAAATAGGGCTCACTATCCTGACGACACCCCAAAGTACAGATGGAGCGGAGAGAAAAAGCCGCAACTCAGGAACTAAAGCGGGAAAGATGAGTAAAAAATCTACAAGAAGCAATTAGTAAATAATTTGCAATAAGTATATAAAATTATTGGAAAATCTAACTCTATAATTACTGTAAGCAGAGACTCAAAGGAAAATAAGGCTTTTCTACTGGGACTACTGGACATCTAGAAAAAAGAAAGCAAGGGATTAAAAAAAAAGAAATTAAAACTCTTGTGTAAAGAATTGGAAGAAAATTTGATAGCCTACCATAAAATCCCTAAAAACTAGAATAGTCCAAAGAGAAATCAGTGATTTCATGAGACAGCAAGAAATATTTGAATAAAATTTAGAATTGAAAAAAAAAAAGAGGAGAAAATGCAAGATATTAAGAACTGACCTGGAAAGCAGGTCAAGGAAAGAATTTAAGAATCATTGAACTCCCTGAAAATCATTTTTTAAAAAGTCTAGGCAACATATTTCAAGAAAACATAAGTCCCAAGAATGTCATGGTTAACACTCAAAGCACCTACATCAAAGAAAAAAGACTACAAACCTCCGGAAAGAGGGAATTAAAGTACCCAAGGAACTACAGTGAGAATCACATAAGACCTAGGAACTGCCACTGAAAAAATCTTGGAACAGAATATTCCAAAAGGCAAAAGACAAAGACTTAAAACCAAGAATAACTTACCCTGCAAAGATGAAAATAACCCTGCTGAGGAAAAAAAAACCAGATCTTTAAGGGAACAGAGGCCTTATAAGTTCTGATGAAAGGCCTAGATCTGTGATACAAATCCAAGAGTCCAGAGAAACCTGGAAAGGTAAATTTATTTCAGAAAGTAGGAGCTATAGGATGATGTAGTGCTAACATCTTGCTAAGTGGAGTAGTAACAAGTAGTTAAATGAGAAAAACAGGGGTCTTAGAGGCAGATTGATTCTGATGGTAGGGTTTAAGAGGAGAAAGAGAAGGGAGGGTAAAAGGCAGAATGAATGTGCAGAACGGAGGAAGAGAAGGAAACTGGCTATGTATCATAACTGGGGTACATGAGAAGAAGAATACACAACGAGGAGAAAAAGGCTGGAGGAATGGTTTCATATGAACTTCAGTCAACTGACACGGACAAAGGAGAGCTGAACACACACACAGTTTGGTGTAGAAACACCTCAAACTCAACAATGAAACAAAGTACAGATACAAGTGGGATGCTGAGAAGGAACAGTCCCAAGGAGACCAAACTTCCTGATTCTGAAGGAGAGCCTTAAAAGGGGGTGTGGGTGGAGAAAATAAAAGGACTAGAATCTAAGAGGGTGCTTTAAATTGCTTCTTAGATAACTAGAGAATGCTGAACAAGTTGGAATATAAAGGTAATGGAGCATTACTGTGCTGTAAGAAACGATGGGGGCAATTTCAGAGAACCCTGGGTGCTATGACCTGAAGCAGAGTGAAGTTAAAAGATTCAAGAGAACAATTTAAACAATGGCAACGTTGCAAAAACAGCAACTTTGGAAGACTTTAAAATTGATCAAAGCAGCGGTATAGCCTGTCTCCCACATATTTCTGGACACAGCTACTTTGTGGGTTCATTTTGCCAGACTGTGCTAATTGTTACAAAGTACAAAGGTTAAAAGAGCTTTTCTCTCCCTTTCTAATTAAGGTGAGGGCTAGGAAGAAGGGTGGGGAGTGGGATAGCAACAGTGATGCCAACAAAAAAAGAGGGCCATTGAAACATTTTAAAAATGCACAGAAGAGGAAGGAAGGAAGTTCATAAGGAACTACAGACAGGCAGAGGATAGGAGGGAGGGGGAGTGGGATGAACCTCAGTCTTATCTGTAACAGATAAAGGAGCAGTGAAAACACACACACACACACACACACACACAGTTTGGCATAGAAATATATCAAAATTCAACAAGGAAACAATGGGATTAGGGAACAAGACAGGATACTACAGAGGAGAGAGTCACAAGCAAAATAAAAGTCCTGATTCTGAAGGAAGAAATAAAAAGGAGGAAAAAAGGAAATCAAAGAATGAGACTCTCAGAGGTTCCTTAGATGCCCCTTAGGCCACTGGGGAGGGCTGTGCCAATTATGGTATATGAAGGTAATGGAATGAATGCTGTTAAGATGTGATGAAAGGGACATGGCAGAGAACCCTGGTTGTATGAGTGAACTGCTCAGAATCAGGAGAACCTTTTATACAAGGACAATGCAGTAAATTAAAACCATCTTAGGGGCAGCCAGGTGGCGTAGTGGATAGAGCTCCGGCCTTGAAGTCAGGAGGACCTGAGTTCAAATTTGGCCTCAGACACTTGACATGTACTAGTTGTGTGACCCTGGGCAAGTCACTTAACCCCACTGCCTCACCCACCCCACACCCCCCCCAAAAAAAAGAAAGAAGAAAAACCACCTTGAAAGATGAAAGAACCCTCACCCAAGTGATGACTCATCACATCTTTCTCCAGAAGACCTATAATGATGCCTGCTGCCCACTTCCTGACCTAGAGTGGACATTTTAGGCCGTGGCCACCCCATGAATATATTCTGTTTATTTTTTAAACAAGCATTTTCCTTCCTTTTTCTCTCAGGAGGCTGGGGGAATGGAACAATATGGATGCCCCCAAAGTAAGGGTCATTGTAACATTTTAAAAATTGCATAAAGAACAGAAGGAAGCAGACCATCAGGACAGTTTTAAAAGTAATGTATACTTTAAAAAGTAAGCAATGTAAAATGGAGATTTATGGCTTCGTATAGAACCCTCTTTCTGTGTTCTGCTGTGTGTATGGAAATACTCTTTGGGGGTGTCTAAGTTCAGGATAAAAACATAAGTTTTAAAAAAGTGTCCTGTGAACAATTCACAGAGGGGATACTTCCCATGCAAATAATTAAGAGTTAACTGTACCATCCAAAGTAAAGACATCCTAGTTTAATAAAGAGTGATAATAAACAATGTAAAGGGATCTTGAAAAAAGAATCCAAGACAAATTCCTTATCTTGATATTCAGTTCTTCTGGCAGGTTTTTAAAACACCAGAATTGCAGGGCTGGAAAGGTTCCCGCCTCATCTGACATGAGGAAACTGAGTCCCAGTGAGGCTCCTGATGTGACCTGTCCGACAGCACAGAGCTGGTAGCAGAACCCAAGTCTCCTAGCCCTTGGGTCCCTTTCCTTGTACCATGTTACACTATTTTTCTTTAATTGTTTCATATGCATCAGCCCTTTTTCCTCAGCTAGACTAAAAGCCGTTTCTTAGACTTTTTAATCCTCACAGCTCCTCCCACTGGGCTAGGTGGCCCAGGAATACTTAGCAAAAATAGACCCCACTCCAATTATGATCTCTCCAGCAGGCACCCATGATGAAAGCTAGGGATGATTTTCCATTTCAGAGTTCCAACAGCTTAAGCCTAAAATAGAAATCCCCAGTGGCTGTTAGTGGCCAGGCCCACTTTCATGGAATTTATCATGTCCCAGGCTCTGAAAGTCTCCAGGGAGAGATGTTCCAGGTTAATCAAGTTGAATGGAATCTGAAATCACTTCTTCTGTCCAGGTTAAAGCAGGGGTGGCAGTGGAAGAGAGAATCCACTAACCATTAGAAAAGCATTATGTTCAGAGGCCAGAGGATCCACCACAGAGTCAGCTAGAATTTGAATCTGATTGTGCCTGGTGCTGGCTAAAAACCAGGAAACTGCCAGCAGATCTCAAGCGTTTCAGAGGCGAATAGGATGGCAAAAGAGGCAATGGGCAGAGCTGGACAGGAAGGTCACCGAGCAGAGGGGGGCAAGGCAGTGGAAGGAAAGAAGCCATCTGTTCAACACAGGGTGAAAGCTCAATGGTTTATGAGATTAGATTTTTCTTCCTTCAGAAGAACGGGGAGTTTTCTCCTGCTGATTTGGCACCACCAGCAGCTGACACATGAACTTTACAAGGGGCTGAGGTCTTTCAATAAGGGCAGTTCCTCTTAACACCCATGGCTGGGGACACTCTCTCTGTACACACAGAAATACTTTTATAGGTTTTAAAATAGACCTCTTTGCAATAAGACTCTGCTCCTTGCCTTCCACCCGAAGCTGGCCACAGGCCCTTAGTCCTACCCAGAGCCTCCTCGGCAGACTTAAAAATACCTGAGATGGGGCAAGGCTAAGGTCCAGGCTGTGCTGCTAAGTGACCAAGAAGAACCGTCCCCAATGGGCCCAGGTGCCTCATCTCTCTGATGGGTATAACAGCAACTGCCAGCTTACCTCATGGGCTTTTTGGGACAAAATCAAGTGAAACTCTTAAATGTGAAATACGTTTGAAAAAGGAGAAGCAGCATAGAAGTTAGGGGAAGAAGAGCAACTTCCTATTCGGAGTTTCAGAGCCAGACAGCATGTTGACGCTCATGTTTCTGGGTCCTTTACAAAAGGCACCCCCTGGCTGCACTTCAAGCTTTCTTGTGAGATCTTCTGAAGATTTCATAGCCAGAAGAGCAGCCAGAGACAGAGTCTTCAGGCAAAAACATGAAAGGTAGGCCAGGGAGAGGGAGGGTCAACAGGAAGCAGCGATGTGGGGGGTGCTCATGTCCCGACACCACTATCTGCCACGCACTACTACCCCTTTCTGGATAGAAATTATCAGGAAGGCCGAGGGTCTTCTCGGCATCTCCCTCCTTTATCACTATTCCCATTCCCAAGCGAAAGATGCCCAAAGCAGGAAAAGTACTGAGAACACGGGACCTCAAATCTGTGTGTTGTGAGCACGTGGGGTGCTTGTATCTGCGAAACAATTAGAAGCACCTACCAAATTAATTCGCTCTTCTGGTGTAAACCTGCCCCACGTGGGAAACGGCACAATTTCTTTACAGTACTTCAGGTTTACAAAATGCTTTCCTCCCCCAAACCCTGGGAGGCAGAGAATACAAACACTTGTACTATCACCCTCATTTTACAGATCAGGAAACTGAGCCCAGAGAGGTGGCAATGATTGCTTAGAGTCACAAAGGTCTCAGAGTCAGGAATGGAACCCCAGTGTCCTGGTGCAAGGTTGGCACTCCAGCCATACACCAGGGCCAACGAGCCAAGCCGGTGAAACGTGGAGCTATGGGACAGTCTTGGCAGGCTGGCCTCTCAAGGCAGTTCCTTCATATTATTTTTCTTGTCTTTTCCACAATCTGTGGTTCAGCACATCCTCTCCTTTGCTGATTAGTACCCTGACAGCACTGCTCTCCATAACTCCTCAATGGACCTTTCAAGAGCTGCACTGATGCCAATGAGGTCCTCATTAGCTGCAGGTGCTAACACTGCAGCCACACATTTTATGGCCCACATCTAGACACCACAGGCCTTCACACCATTTTCATGGATGAGACAAGCAGTGCTTAAGGTGTGACTGCCCAAGATGATAATCCAGCACCGCCCACTGGTCTAAGGGAGACACAGACATACTCTCCGACTCAGCCTGGATAGTGGCCTTTACCCCCTTTGATCTATTATTATTAACTTGGAGGGAGGGAAATTGAAAAAATTTGGCCAGAAACACAAAGCATCTGGATAAGCTTTGCCCTTCACAGAAAATAGAGCACCAGATCCACGCGGGCCAATCCTCTGTATTCACATTCTGGGGTGGTGCAAGAGGCAGTACTTTCTTTCTCTAAAGTCCATATTTCTACATATAATGTGTGCATGTATGTATGTATACACACATATACATAGATGTGCACTGCCACAGCTGTTATACTCCTCAGCAGAAAATAATAATGATTATTACAGTTCTCATTTCTATAACACTTTAAGGTTTTCAAAATCCTTTTTTTTTCCATAGAAATCCTGAGAGGGAAGTAGTATAAGCATAATTCATTTTTACAGGTTAGGAAACTGAAGCTCTGTGCAGCAAGTATTCACACCCAAGCCTTTTGATTCAGAGTTAATCATTCTTTTCTATTCCACCTTTAAGTCATGCTTGCTTATATTCTTTGGATTTGACACAGGAAGGGGATGATAGAGGAAAAACAGTCTGGCCATACTGAGGTTCTTCAGTGCCTATGGACTTGACCAAAAAAAATTTTTTTTACAATTGAAAATATTTATGTATGTATATAAATAAAATAAATATAATTTATATTTTAAAATTGGTATGGCAGTATTAATGGTATAGTAACAGACCACTAACAGTCCCAATTCCCTGCCTCCCAGCTCTATTGCACAACAGTAGTCTCTCAAGGGCCTATAGGCCTTTGGGGAAGACTTTCCATTTGTGTTCCTGTGGAGGAAGGAGTCGCATCACCCTCCTGGACACCCTGTGATCTTGTATCTATTTATCTGCATAGATGTTGTATCCTAAGACAATGTAAGCTCCATCAGGGCAAAAACGACTTCTCCCATTTTGTTTTTGTATCCCCAGTACCTAAGAAAGTCTTGCACACAGTAGGCACTTAGTAAATGCTCATCAGACTGAATTATCTCTTCCATGTGGTGCACTCCTCTCCTTACGTTCATGCTATTCCAACCCCTGGTCAGGGTACTTTGGATATAGAGTAGAGAATAAGGGCCCTTATTAACCAACCTAAGGAAACTGTATTCGGACTCAGAATCTAAGCTGGTATCTTCCCAAGGAGGCCCAAAGGAAACGTACGAGAATTATGAATGTACAAGCCTCCCCTTCCAACCTGGCCTTCTGGGGTTCTGGGTAGCCTAATTTTTCCCTTTTCCTAAAATCACAGGTCATTACAGAAAACAGAAACATCTGGATAGAGCCAGCAGCCCAACATTCTTACAGGTCCTCTCAGAATTTCGCAGCACATGCTAAACTCTGGCAGGTGGGCACAGTGGAGTAAATGAAGACGGAGAAATCCTCACAGCTCTTGATTCAGCTCGTATAAAGACAGATTCAGTGAGACAACAATCCATCAAAAACCTGACTTTTTATAACTCTTAAAATGAAAGCTTTTTATTCACGGAGCATCTCTCTCACAGAACTCCACTCTTCCATCTAATCCACCCCCAAGGTGTCCATACTCAACAGATGCTAATTCAGAGATGCTTAATTTCCTGTTCTCTGAGCAAGAGCTTAGGTTTTCTGCCACATCCTCACAAAGGACCTGTCCTTTTGGAAGACTTAAAGATGAAGTCCTTACTTTGTAAGTGGGCCAGGGATAGCGTTAGGGGCTGGGTGTGGGATTTCACTGGTATAAGGAACAAACTCCTACCAATGCAGGTTGGCATTTTCTCTGCAATTTAAGAGTCTTAGGGAGCTTTCTGGGACACGGAAAGGTTGAGAGCCTTACTCACAGTCACCCAGCCAGGACAGGTCAGGGTTGGGCCTGGAACCCAGGTCTTCCTGGCCTTAAGGAATTATACATAAATTAAATTATGTGCTGGTGTGGATAACACATAAAATCATTGCTTCAACATCAGAATAGTTCTATTTTGGCAAAATGCCCCACACCAAAGGAGGCATCAAGGTACAGGACATTAGATTAGAGGCAGCCACGTGGTGCAGTGGACAAAACACCGGAGTCAGGAAGACCTGTTCAGATACAATAATAATAATAATTATGACAGCTAGTGCATATATAATGTTTCAAGGTTTGTAAAATGTTTTATAAATATTATCTCATTTAATCTTCATTTGGGAGGGACGTACTATTATTATCCCTGGTTTTTAGATGAGGAAATTGAGGCAGCGCCCAGGGTCACACAGCTAGAAAGTGCCAGATGCCATATCTGAACTCAGGTCTGCCAGGCCCAGAGTTCTGTCCACCATGCTATTTAGCGGCCTTTATACTTACTGTGTGACCCTGCATAAGTCACTTAAACTCTGCCAGCCTCAGTTTTCTCATCTGTAAAATGGGATAATAACAGTACCTACCTCTGCATGGTTTTTGTGAGGATCAAGTGACACAATATTTGTAAAGAGCTTGAACAACCTTAAAGCATTATATAAAAGCTATCATCATCAATTCCAAAACAGGTTCAGATTCAGTGAGAATTGTCCAGAGTCACCTTGTCTGCAAATCTGCAGAATACCTGCTTGCAATTTAGATATGTACCCTGATCTAGCTGATGAAAATTAGAAAATAAGTGTGAGACAGGTACACATTTCCATGAAAATGAATACATTGGCTAAAAACTAGTTTAGTCATTGGCTGGAAAGAACAATTAATGTTAACCCATGGCAAAAAATTCACTTTTCATTGTTATACTTTATCAAAACTCGTTAAGGCTTTCATTTAAAAAAAAAAGAATTTGAGGAGAACGGGAAATAGTGGAGATCATTTCAAAATGCAATGGAGAAATATTTGGTTACTTTGCAACTGCAGGCTTTTTAACTTCATCTGTTCTTAAATCCTATGTCAGGAACTCTTTATCTTCTTATACCAATTAATTAAAGACAATGAAAAAATTAAATGAAACTCAACCTGGGAGAACAAAGTTAAAGCGGCTACGGCACTGGGGACTTTGTAGGGGTTTAACTACATCGGGAAGTAATTACACAATATTTTCCAGAAGTGAAACTGCGAGGCTAACTGGAAAAAATGTGGAAACGTTTAGTTAGAACAGTAGAGCAAGGTATTAAAGCCCCTTTTATGGGGTTAACTCTGAAGGAAAATATGCAAATAATTAGATCTTTAAATGTGTTTTTAATCACAATCCTAGGATAGAAGTCAGAGGTGCCATTTGGCGTCGCTGACTTTTCCTGAAAACCCCTTTCTGCTGAACGACAATGATTCTGATGTCCACGTCACCATGAAGGCTCAGACTGACAAAGAAGATACTGAAAAGAAATGCTTTCCTGGCTCCCTGACCAGCTTTTCCTACGCTGCTGAGCGCACGTGGTCACGAGCTTCCTCCATTCACCACCCCCCCAAGCTGGGTAGGGGGGCGTGGCTTCAGTTTTTAACATTCAACCCCATTCAGCCCACCATCGGCACACGGCTGCTATCTTGACGATTTCCTTCCGATGCTCATTTCAAGCTTTCCCTGGTCCCTGTTTCACTGGCCCCTTTTGTCACCAGGAGCCCTCTAATGCTTCATGGCAACATCTCTTGGACAAGATAGAAACAGCAGTTCAACTCAAATTGGGGAGAAAAGATTCAAAAGAACCACGTGCAATCGCTTATAATCTCATTTAACCCCTGACAAAAAGGCATTGCAATGTCAACAGGAGAGCGTTGTACCCAGGTTGGCATGCTCAACTGCTGTCACCCTAACACATGGGCCGATCTGACTCTGAGGAAGGTGGCTACGGACCCTGGACGGAATGGAAATAGACCGCTTCCATTCTGCAGAAAGGCCAGGGTTCCCACTTAACGGAGAGGAAGGGCAGGAAGCAACAAGGCAGCTACTGAGCAGAGGCACCAAAACACTGGGCAAAAATGCACAGGAAATAGAGATGCCTTCATCCAAATGAAACAGCCTGGGGAAATCAGGGAAGTGGAATTAATCATCAGAGCTGGGACCAGGTAGATCAATGCCCTGCTCTGTGACTTTTCTATCCCCAAGACTGTAAACGGCTGAGGACCTGATACATCTAATCTCACAAGGGCATTACAACGGATGCCAAAGGGAGGGATTAAGTGCTGAGCTGACCTTGAGAGAAGCTACCACCCACCAAGCGAGCAGTACACGACTTCCTTCTGCAGCTGCATCTGGTCCCTGATTTAGCATCTAAACACTGCTCTAAGAAGATAAGGACATAGTCAGTCAATTCGGTCCAGTATTATCTGTGATGGTGGCACCTGAGGACTGTCCTTACAGGTTAGGGATTTACCTCAGGTATCCTTATAAATAATTATAAAATGTTGACCAACCCATCATTTTCACCAGCCTGTATTTACTTAGAGGAAGTGAATAGATTTTTAAAAAATGAAACCAGTGTTTTTTCTACTCATCAAGGATAAATAATTGGCTTCTCCAGGCAGATGCCTTTTTACAAGGCTATTTCAGCTGGATTTGTAAACCAACATTTGGAGCAAAGATCCTTTGACCAGTTTCAATAGGCTAAAGTCCTGATAAAGTTCAAGCTAGCAGCCTGATGACCCTACACAGATGAACACTAAAGGACTGTAATTTCACATGCTCACATCAGTTTGATTTTTGGATGAAAATGTTCAGACCCAAAGCTGAAAGACAGAACCCTCTATGGACAAAGTTAATTATTCAGTATTCCTACTTACAACTCATCTTGAATGTTGTCAGTCAGTCTGAATAACTGTTCCTGACCATCAGCCTGGCTCTCTGAGTACCTGGGAAGCAGCCCTTGGGGTCCAGTACAGCAGCGGGGTTTCCGTACTCTCTGGGCTTGGGTCCTAAGGGAATAAAAGACCAAGATTCACTGATATGGAATAAACATTAAAAAAAAAATGACAAGGTCAGTTAGGACCAAGGCTTTACTCTCTGCTCTGCCACTCCCCACCCCCATTCCCTCAAGTTACCCCCAAATCTGGTGCCAAAGAGCCTTTTGAGCTCCACTGCTTGATTGTTTTCTTTTTACTTTGCTGAAATCACTGTGCACCCTCTTTTCCTGGTTCTGCTTCCTTCCCTTTGCATCAGTTCAGATAAGTCTTCCTAGGCTTCTCTGTATTCATCTTGTTTGTAACTTCTTACAGAACAGTAAAATTCCATGACATTCATATGCCACAGTTTATTTAGCCATTCCCTATGCAAATGACATCTACTTTACTTCCAGTTCTTTAATACTACAAAAAGTGCTACCACAAATATTTTGGTAGATATAGAGTCTTTATTTTGACAGTGACTTCCTTGGAGTATATGCCTGCTGTTAAAATTTCTGGGTCCACGGGAATGGACATTTTTGCCACTTTATTTGCATAATTCCAAATTTCTTTCCAGAATGGAAATTACTAATTCATAGTTCTGCCAATAATGCATTAATGCATAATTAAGTTTTTTCATAGCGCCTTCAATACTGACAATTCCCAACTTTTATCACCATTGCCAATTTGCTGGGTATGTATGAGGTGAAATCTCGGCTGTTTTCATTTGCATTTCTCTTATTAGTGATTAGAGCATTTTTTCATATGATTGGTTTATAACAGTATGTATATCTTCATTTGAGAGCTGTCTGCTCATATCCATTGGTCACTTATCTATCAGGGAGCTGCTCAATCCCCATTCCCATTTTATTTCTGTCTTCTCTGGAAACCTCAGAACAAAAATGGCTAATGGGATGCTGGTAATCATGGCAAGTGAAGAGGCGGCAGGACTCGAGCGCCTAGATGAAGTCAAGCTGCTGGGCCTGGGGTAAGCTAGGATATTCCAGGGAAATCAGAAAATTGCCAGAGAACTGATAGCTGCGTCACTGCCAGTCACAGGTGACAGGTCATGATGAACGTTATGGCTTCGTCAAGAAATCACACAGTAATCACATAAACTAATCTTATTTCCATTTACAGTCACCAAACTGGTAGAGAAGTGCCTTAGGTAGGTACTTGGGTGGTGGAAAGAGCGCTGAGCATGGAGTTGGAAAAAGCTGGGTACAAATTCTTCCTCTGATACTAACTAGCTCGGTGACCCTGGGCAAGTCATTTAATCTCTCAGTTCTTCATGCAATTCCTTAATACTTGTATATCCTAAATTATAGACAGATTGTCTCAACATCTGCAGATGATACAAAGGTGAGGGAGACAGGGAACACACCGGATGACAGCATCAGAATCTAAAAGATCCTAATAAGCTAGAACTTTGCTGAATCTGACAAGATGAAATATAATAGAGATAAATATAAAATCTTATACATGGATTCAAAAGATCAATTTCATAATATAAGACGGGGAAGTGTGTTTGGATAGCAATCTGTCTGAAAATTATCTAGTAAAAAAGGAAAGTGATCATGGGCTGTATTTGGTGGCCCAGCTTTCACCATGCCATGCTAGGGAAAAGGATGTGACAGCCCTGTTATCCTCTACAAATGTTAGATTAAATCTAGAGTATTCAGTTTGGGACCTCCCTGTTTATGAAGGATGTTGATAAATTGGAACAAGTCCAAAGGAGAAAAGCCAGGTCAGGGCTTCATGCCACATGAGGATCAGTTGATCTAGGGGTGTTAAGCCTGGAGAAGAGAAGACTAGGGGACATTGGGGGAGGACATGGTCTCTATGTTCCAAGTATCTGAAGGACTATAACCATGAACAGGGTTTAGATTTATTTGATTTAGTCCTAAAAGGAAGAGCTAAGAATAATGAGTATAAGTTGCAAAGAGGAAAATTTCAGCTTCACTCATGGAAAAACATCTTAACAATTACAAATTATCCAATGGCTGAATGAGTTGCTTTGGAAGGTAGAGAGTGGGTTTCTCCTCATTTGTGACTGTTTGTCAGGTATGTTGAAGAAAGGATCCTTTTTTTTTCTTTTTGGTGAGGCAGTCTGGGCTAAGTGACTTGCTCAGGGTCACACAGCTAGGAAGTATTAAGTGTCTGAGGCTTGATTTGGATTTGAACTCAGGTCCTCCTGACTCTAGGGCCGGTGCTTTATCCACTACCCCACCTAGCTGCTCCTGAAAGGATACTTTTTAAAATATATGTACCAGATCGGATGGCCATAGAGTTCTTTTTCAGTGTTGAGATTCTATGGTTTTGTAATTCTCTGAACAAACAACTAGAAGTCCCTGAAGTATAATGGTGATCTGGCCAGGTTTTGAATAGTCACAAGTGCAGAAGAGAGATAATCTCTCTATCTCATGAATATGACTTGGCCAGCCAGAACCCTCAAATTAGGACTAGACAGAAAGAATGAGGATGAAGATGTGATACAAGATGACAGCGAATGTTTTTCTAAATTTTGTTTTGGTTTAGGTTTAGACCAGCATCTTATATGGTATAAATGGTACACAATAATTACATGAGACCTAAACATAAAAGGTCACATAATAAAACAGAATTATGGTACCTTTTACAACTTTAGCTTTGGAGGAAATTCTTAACCAAACTCTTGAGGTGAACACAAGAGATAAAAGGCAATTTCAATTACATAAAATTTCATGAACAAAATTACTACTGTTAGAATAAGAGAAAGTGTTGAACAGGAAGAATATTTGCACCAAATATCTCTTACATCTGATATCTAATTATATAAGGAACTGAATAAATATTTAAGACCAAGAATCATAGGGATATACGATTTGAAAGCTGGAATAGCCCTGAGTGACTATCTAGTCCACTTCATACCTAGAAGGTGTGGATTATTACATAACCAATGAACGATGGAGAGGCAATATGGTATAATGAGAAGTATTAGTTTTGGGATTAGATGACCTTGAATTTGAATCCTGACTCTTGTCACTTAAGACCAGTATGACCTTGGTCGGGCAAGCCAATTAATCTTCCTAAACCTCAGTTTCCTCATATGTAAGCACAGGGAGTTGATCAGATGACCTCCAGAGTTTCTGTATCTGTGATCCTACAGTGGGTCATCCAGTCTCTGCCTGAAGACCTACAAGGAAGGGGAGCTTGCCACCTGTCAAGACAGTCCCTCCCACCTGTGGACAGCCTGGGAAGGTTTCTCTGCCACTAAGCCTCAATTTGTCTATTTGCATCTTCCATTCATGGCTCTTGGTTTTGCCTTTGAGAGACAAATAAGTCAAATCCTTCTTTCACATGACAGATGGTCAAAGGACATGAAGTTTTCAAAAGAAAAACTGCTCACTGTCAACAACTGTCTGAAAAGAAAACACTCTGAATTACTAATAAGAGATGCAAATTAAAACAATGCTAAAGTTCTACTACCTCCCACCCAATCAAAATGTTGAAGATGATCAAAGATATAATGTTCAGACAAAGTTGCAAGGAGACCAGGTACTCTAAATCAGAAGTGTCAATCTCACAATTTATTACAGGTGGCTCTTAATATTCCCAATATGGCTCAAGGCAGATTAAAATGTAACCAGGATATACAAAATACAAATATGTGGTAAAACATAGATAATATTACATTTTAAAACGAAGTCGATACATTGCCCTCAAGGATCCTTATATGCAGATTAGTGACCTCTATTTCCATTTGAATTTGATACCACTGCTTGAAAGTACTCTCGGTAGAACTGTGAATTGGTCTAATCATTCTGAGAAATAGTTTGCAATTATGTAAAAATGTTACTGAAACTGTTAATACTCATTGACTCTGT